AATTTGACTTCAATTGTACTAATTCGAGTTCGATTTCACTATAATTGTACTAATTTGACTTTAATTGTACTAATTCGAGTTCGATTTCACTATAATTGTACTAATTTGACTAATTTGACTTCAATTGTACTAATTCGAGTTCGATTTCGCTATAATTGTACTAATTTGACTTTAATTGACTTCAATTGTACTAATTCGAGTTCGATTTCACTATAATTGTACGAGATTGTACTAATTTGACTTTAATTGTACTAATTCGAGTTCGATTTCACTATAATTGACCGAGATTGTACTAATTTGACTTCAATTGTACTAATTCGAGTTCGATTTCACTATAATTGTACTAATTCGATCGACGGGAGGCTGCGAATACGGGCAACGGTCTGCGAAATGTAAGGGATCACCACATCTAGTGCATTGATCCCGGCCCCTTCTGCGGCGCGCCCGACGATCCATTTGCATTTTAAAGCGTCTAGTTTGGGCGCGACCGGGTCCAGGCTTCGAGATGATCCTCTCCCAATGCGGAATCAAATTCCATCCCACCCGCGGCCACGTGTCAGGATTCCCAATTGGAGTAAATTTCCAATTAGAAAATTGAGCAACCCAATTCTCCGTCGAAAAGTAGGGATTATACAACGACACCGGTTGATCACCCCGGTGACGACACACTCGAATTGCATGAGAGCATGGTTTTCGATGTGTCTGCCACTTTCTACATGTACAACGCTGCTGCTGATAAAAGACCTTAAACCTATTTTCAACAATGATTTATATATATAAATTAGAAAAAAAATAAACTCATTTGAATGGAAAAAAAATTACAATTACAAAATACATACTTGTTTTGCCCTCTTCCATTGGCGCGTAGACCGGTTGTCACCATGTACTAGGATCCGTCGGCGTCCACACATTGCACCTCGTGAGTCACCGCCGTCTTTTCCAACTCCCGATAGGCAGCATAGAGGTCGGTAGGAATGGGAGTCCTGCATCCTCTGGACTTCTTATGTTCCTGTTCAAACAAATCCAGAGTCTTGTTCAATGTGGCATGTACCAACGCTCTGCAGGGCAGGAACCTAACACCTTTGAGGACATTGTTGTAACTCTCTGACATATTCGTTGTCAGAGTGCCCCATCGACGTCCTCCATATTTGTACAGGGTCCACTTTTCCAGAGCAATTTTGAAAAGGTAATCGTATGCGTCCGGGTTACATTCATGGAGTTCCTATCGACTCTGCTCAAATTTGCGGCGAGAACACAGTGAACCCAACCTCCAACACAAACCCCGGACTTGTTTATTCCGGTACCTTGAAAACACGTTGCTCCGGAGGTGTCGAAGGCATATCCGATGAAATGCATGGGGTTCGTACCAAGTCTCCAGTAATTCAACGGCACTCAATATGCCGTTGTCCCTGTCGGAAAGAAGACATATCGGTCTGTTGGGGACGACATGATGGCGCAGATGTGTTAGGAAAAAGGACCAGCTAGCCGTGCTTTCTTCGTCCACAATCGCATACGCGACTGGCAATAGACGGTTATTCGCGGTCTGTGCTATGGCAACAAGCAGCTTCCCCTTGTACGAACCTGCTCAGTTGGACATATGTTTTTTTTTTTAATCAGACACTATTGTAAATTAGAAAATAAAATATTAATTTGCAATTAACAAGTAGTTTCCCCTTGTACGAACCTCGCAGGTGCGCCGTCGATGCTAATAATCAGCGGGCAACGAAGGAAGGTTTGAATGGCGGGGCCGAACGCCCAGAAGACAAATCTGAATTCTCTGTCTCGAGATTGCTTCGCCATTTCTCCACCCTGCCATTCCCACTTAACGACTGTACCGGGATTCGCCCTTTGAAGGGCGGCGAAAAACCTGCAAATTATAAAAGGTAACCATAAATAAATAAATAAATAAATATAGTTACAAACAACACGTAAATACGTTTATAATTAATTTTTGCTTACTGGGGGAGTTGTGCGAAGTTCGATTCCCACGTGCCATGCAGACGATCAATGGCTTTTTTTCTCCCGTGCCACGCCTTCTTGTAACTGACATCGACTCCCCAGACACTTTTTACGTCGGCTTGGACCATTTCCACACTGTAGGTCACCTGCTTCTGAATCTTAGCCAACAGAAGATTTGAGATCATGGTGGCGGTCACATTCTTGTGGTCATTTCTCTCGAACACCTGCATGCAAGTGTGGCTATCGGTCCATTCGGTTACCTCCCACATGCCGTGATCCCGTTTGTTAAGACTCACCCGGGCCTTCCATATACATGGTACAACTTCATCTGATCTGCACACAACTTTGAACGACTTCCTGTTGGAATCTTTTGTCCGGACCGCCCTAAGCTTCTCAACATTCCAGGCATTAATACCAATCCGGGCTTCTTCCTTGGTACGAAAAACTGTACCCAAACGGATGGTCTCGACATGCCCATTCCAGGTTGGCAAGGCATACTCGTCCCTGTCTACACACGACGAGTCCCACTCACCCATCTCGCGATAATCGTAGAGGCCTTCATTTGGAAAGAGGTGTTCTTCAATGAATTCTTGTTCGCTCTCCTCATTAATTGATCTGTCCGATTCGGTTTCCGAGGTCTCATCCGTGAAATCGTCTTCACTGGGAATGAAATCTTCATCTCCAACAATTTCTTCCTCAATGTTCAGTCCTCTCATGGTAAAGCTCGTTCCTTCGCTGAAATTACTCGTCCCTTCACCAAAATTACCGGCATGTGTAGTCCACGTATCCTCACCACCAAACATTCCCTCGTAACTATATGATGGCGTAGGATCCTCAACCTGTGTAACCTGTGTGTTTGCTTCCAACACTATATGCAAAAACACATAGGACATAGGAGCAGAGTAGTAAATCCACGAAAGAGAATTATCATTATGAAGTCTTCCGGTAATAAACGAACCATCCTGTTGTCTCGCCATCAAAGTAATATCCGAAATTGTCCAACTATCACGAAATCCACCATTTTCGTAAATCATATCTACCAATTGTTGATATGATATTATTCCATTAATAACAAATGAACAATCCGGACGAGACATATAATTCGAAAAATTCCATAACTCACTCTGGGAAATTTTCCAGTACACATTAACAAAGTATGGACCGTTAGACGACATTTATAACCTGTTGCACAAAAAAAAATTATATTTTACAAATTACAACAACATAAAAAAAAAATCAAACACCACGAGAAAATTTCAATTATTATTTTACCAATCTACATTTAAAAATTCAATTATTTTACCAATCTACATTTAAAAATTCAATTATTTTACCAATCTACATTTAAAACACATATCCAACAACATCATATAATTAATCATATTTTTAATCCAACAAAAAAAAAATAAAATTGTCAATTAATTTAGTACATTGCCACAACAAAAACCCTAATCACCATAATCCAACAATAACATCAAATTCATAAACAATTTGGATAAATATTCAATTAACCAAATTCATAAACATATATTAAACAACATTCAAGATTTTCTAAACAATACTCAATTAACCAAATATATCTCTTAAACATTCATAAACAACCAAAAATTAATATTACATTATATTAAAATAACAACTAACCTCTTCTTCGACGATTGGTTGAAAATTTGTTTTTTTCCCGGGAACAGCTTCAATTCGCCAAAAAATCGAGCAAAAAACGAGAGGAGAAATGAAATGGGAAAATTTGTTTTTTTTTTTTTAATTGCAGCTTCAATTCGCAATAAAATCGAGCAAAAAACGAGAGGAGCAAATGAAATGGGAGAGGAGAAATGGGAGAGGAAATTGGGTTCGAATGATATTTATCAACAGAAAAACGGATTTTCAAAATCCGTTTTACTCGTTTTTAAATGGAAAACGGATTTTGAAAATCCGTTTTAGACAGTGGATGTATTATTATTATTATATTCGACCGTTATCTTATAAAAAAAAAAAAAATCAAAAGTAAAAACGGATTGTGAGAATCCGTTTTTCAATTAAAAATTTAATTAGAAAAACGGATTCTGAAAATCCGGCTGTTTTATACATTTCCACAACTTTTTTTATTTTTTTTATTTTTTTCCACATATTTTTGTTTTTTTTTTTTAAATAAATAATGCACCCTGTTTATATGGTAAATATTTATCACGAGATACATATTATTAACACTTTAATGTACAAATTTTATACACAAAATATTTAATTTTGTTACTTTTATGAATATTTATATGACAAAAATACTCTATAAATAATTTAAAGAATTTTAAAATTAATTATCCGGTTCAGCAATTGATCCGGTGACCCGACAGTTGAAATGGTGACTCAGTGACCCGAGAACCTGACCTGGTCGATTACCATGATTTAAATTTAAAACTATATGAATTTATGGAAAAAGTAAGTGGAAAAACTAGTGGGGCTTAGACCTTCTCCAACCGTACTGCAAAACGCAAAATTTGCAGTACGGAGAGCTCCAATCGGTGCCAAAAACCGATCGCAAATTGCGATCTTCACCTTCTCTCTCCTCAGATCGACGCATATTTGCGTCGGAACGCAAATTATGCGTTCAATATTTTTTTTTTACATTTTGGTCCTTTAGGTTTATTTAATTTATAAAAACTGATTTTTTTTTCTTTAGTTTTTATTTAAATAGTAAAAATAATAAAATAAATAATTTTATAAATAAAAAATTAAGTTTAAAGAATACAAAAATTTTTCTTTTTTTTTACTTTCATGAAATTTATATAATATGATATTTAAAATAATTAATATGATATTATTTTATATTAATCATAATAGAGTAATTATACATATTAATGTTAATTTATTCACAATAATAATGTAAAATACCAAAAAATCTTTAAATTTTATTTTTAATGACTATTTATTTTTCCGATTTTATTATATAAAGTTTAAATTGAATTGAAAATAATAGTGTGGTTTAATTTGTAAAGTTGTAAAATATGTGAGTAGTATTGAAAAGTTGTAAAAGTTGATGTAAAATAGAATATTCCGAGAATATTTTTTTGGGTTGAAAAATGGGTTTTTCAGTTGGAGATGAATTACTGCAAAATGAGAATTGTAGTACAAAATGGGTTTGAGTTGGTGTAATCTGTTGGAGATGCTCTTATCCGTATTGTGTGGTACACAGCAATAAACTCCCCTCATATCTCTCACTACAATTTTCGTCTCACATTTTCACTCTCTCTAGCGAATCCTTGTCTTTCTCCATCTTCCAACAAGAAAAATGGGTAATTTTGCTTATGTTATTGACTTACCATTTCTCAGTCCATCTTATTAGCGCATTATCTAACTTGTCGTTGTATAATTCTTCTTGTTTTGCTGACGTTTGTTTTCCTGGGTGCAGCAGCCAAGATTAAGATCGGAATCAATGGTACTTGATCTGAGCCCAACTCTGAATTTTTTTTTAACACTTCATTTCACTCGTTTTTCATTTTTCTTTCCGATCACTGTTGAGCAGTCATTGGTTGTGACAATTTGTTGGTGATTTGATGTAGGGTTTGGAAGAATTGGGCGATTGGTGGCTAGAGTTGCTCTTCAGAGGGACGATGTTGAGCTTGTTGCTGTCAACGACCCCTTCATCTCCGTTGACTACATGGTCACTTTCTTTTTCTTTGTTTTTCCTTTCCCTATCACATTATACATTTTTTTATATGTTTTTTGCATTCCGAGGTTCAAGTGTTGTAGCATCCTAATGAGTACGGTGCTTCTCAATTTAAACTCTTTCAGGACTAACTTGCATAAACTGTTGTGCTATTTGATTCTCATTTTAATTTCTTATATACATCATCCAATTGCCATGTTTGTTCTGGAAGTATGGCCAAAAGCACCAAGAAGCCCATTTTAGGTGGATTAATATGATCAAGATCTAAGAGAACATGGTATAAATTTCATTCATCATTGACCGCGGATTATTATGAATCTTTCACCCATTTTCTTATGAATTAATGCATATCTGGATGTTTCTGTAGCTTTATACCAGTATATGTTTTTGCTAAGTTTAGCATTATCTGGCAAAAAATATTTGTTTAGTGTGTGAGTTTTGTTTCTGCAGACCTACATGTTCAAGTATGACAGTGTTCATGGCCAGTGGAAGCACCATGACCTCAAGGTTAAGGATGAGAAAACCCTTCTCTTTGGTGAGAAGCCTGTCAGGGTTTTTGGTATCAGGTACACCTTTTAGCATTTCTTCGAAATTTTTGTGTATGTATTTGTGTGTAATTGTTGGTATCTATTTATCAGCTAATCATCTACCTTATTCAACTTGGATCTGCAGAAACCCAGACGAGATCCCTTGGGGTGAAACCGGTGCCGATTTTGTGGTGGAGTCCACTGGAGTGTTCACTGACAAGGACAAGGCTGCTGCGCATTTAAAGGTTGGATATGTGGGGAATTTACAATGTCTCTTTAATGTTTGCTTTTCCTTTTTGGGCACTAAGTAAATGTTATCTGCATAGTTCTACTTGCTATATGTACTCTTATTTTGTATAGGCTGCTGATGTAATAACGACATACAAGTTTGTACATGTGTAATTAGGAAGGATAGAAAAAGATTGGGTTTTGTTGGGCCATGACGTTAAATTTGGGCAAAGAAGCAAAATGATAAACTGTGATAAATAAGTGTTTTAGGAATGTGTTGTTTATTCATTGAAAGTTAACTTGTTTCCTAACTGTACATGCTACGTAAAATATGTTTGCCTGCATTATCTTGTTTAAGATTTATGTTAAATTTGTCGATAATCAGGGTGGTGCAAAGAAGGTCATTATTTCAGCACCAAGCAAGGATGCACCTATGTTTGTTGTTGGTGTCAATGAGAAGACATACACACCAGATCTCAATGTTGTTTCTAATGCTAGCTGCACCACCAATTGCCTTGCTCCTTTGGCAAAGGTTTGTGCATTGCTGCCTTATGTATTGTAATGGTTAAGCTGTGAGAATGTCTAATAAATTTTTTAATTTTTATACGTGCAGGTAATTCATGATAGGTTTGGTATTGTCGAAGGTCTTATGACAACAGTCCACTCTATTACTGGTAGGTACGGTATTTTGTCATATTTTTAATTTACCTGTCTGTATTCTGATTCTAGTATATGTATTACTCAGCCACTCAAAAGACTGTTGATGGACCGTCTGCCAAGGACTGGAGGGGTGGAAGAGCTGCCTCATTCAACATTATCCCTAGCAGCACTGGAGCTGCAAAGGTACTTAGGTCATGGTTTGAATTGTATTCATTCGGAAACTTTTGTCATGTCTGAGAATAGTGAAGAAAACATTTCGTGAAGAAAAAAGCATGAATTTTGAAGTGATTGGTATGGGGTGCAAATGCAGTGGTTAAATTTGATGTAACATATTTATTGTGTATGATCATTCAGTAGAAGTGATGAAAATATATTATATATTCAAGGTCGGCCTTAGTCCATTGGGAGCCTTGTGCTATGTCTTAATGTTTCTTCCTGTTTACCTCTAGGCTGTTGGGAAAGTTCTTCCAGCACTGAATGGAAAACTAACTGGAATGGCCTTCCGTGTCCCGACCGTTGATGTTTCTGTCGTTGATCTTACTGTGAGATTGGAGAAGGCAGCTACATATGACCAAATCAAGGCAGCTATCAAGTAAGAACGGCATTGATATCAATCAGTTTCTAGTTTTTTCTGTATCTGTTACATTATTTGGTGATGTACTTGTTTTGTTTGCGGGTCTACTTCAAAATGTGATCATCATTGAGCTGTTCACAGGGAGGAGTCTGAGGGAAATCTGAAAGGAATCTTAGGCTACACTGAAGATGATGTGGTGTCCACCGACTTTGTGGGTGACAGCAGGTGATCATAGTATTCATATATTTGATCACCTATATTCCTATATATACACCAGCAGCATTGGCTGCTAACACTTTTATTTTTTATTTTTTATTTTATATATTATTACAATGGCACACTGTACAACTGTTGATAATTTCTTACAGAGGCGACATTGCGAATTTTACTGAAACCATTATTTGATACTTATTACACAGGTCAAGTATTTTTGATGCCAAGGCAGGAATTGCCTTGAATGAGAATTTTGTCAAGTTTGTTTCGTGGTATGACAATGAATGGGGATACAGGTAATAGTTCTGAAGTCTTTCCTGTTTGCAATTTGTTAAAATAATTTTGCTGATAGCAATGCATGTTCAGGCATTTTTTGTCGCGCAGAATCTGTTGTTTTTAATTTCGTAGAATGTTTTCCTTGGTTGAGTCTGTTTTTTCATCTTTGCAGCACACGCGTAGTTGATTTGATCAAACACATTGCCTCCACTCAGTAATTGTGATATCTCGATGTATGCAATTATAATGCCGCCTCTGCATGGTGGTTTTTTCATATTCTAGCTAGAATAAAATTGCGCCCTGTTGGTGTCAATTTATTAGTAATCTGGCTTGGTTCCAGTGTTTGTCTCTTCGGTTTAAGTCACTCATGGGATGGAGACTACTCCCACGTTTTGAAGAATGTTTTGCTGAACATATGTTTTAATTTTCCGGTAAATGTGTGTTGATGTGTAATAATAGTACGGTTTTGTTCTTATTTTGCTTGCTTGTCCCCTAGGGTGAAATGCTTGAACAAAGTTGTTTGACCTGCTACTTGGTTGACAACTGATCCAGTGTTGTTTCGAATTGCAAGGGTAGTAAGCTTTATCTTTATTTTTATTTTCTTGGTTTCTTTGTTTTTTGTTGATATGACCACTAAAGTTAGTAGGTCCTTGTTAACTGGTCCCAGTCAACTATTTTCTTGTTTTTGTTAACTGGTCCCAGTCAATTATTTTCTGGTTTTTGTTAACTGGTCCTCGTCAATAAAATTTAAAGAGATTACAATTTGTATTAATATATGGAATCTCTTAATATGAAGTGTAAATATCAGTCGAGAGATTAGAGTTTGTATTGCATATATAGCATCTCGTTTTTTTTTTTCTTTTTGATAGGTAATAGGTAAATATATGGGCATCTCCTAACATGCAGGTTAAATATTACTAAAATATTTGCAATTTAAAATTCATTGTATTAATTTTTAATTAAGCTGAAATACAAGAGCACTTAAACTTGTTTGGCCAACAGCTCCTCCTTCCTGAGTTGTAACTCAACAACTGTGGTGTTCTATTCTTAAATACACAACATTCCCCACCAAAAACACAAGGCACAGCACATGCATACAACTTGTTGTATACACTAATTAGTTATGCAAAAGGTTGAGAGCTTTAGCCAGGGTGCCCTTAAACCTGTGAATGTCAATAGTGACATTCTGATTTTCCAAGTAGACAGCCTTAAACTCATCCCACCCCTTCTTTTGGAAAGACACGGGATCTCGTAGAACCGAATGATTAGAAGGATACTGGCGGCTCAACGAGCTCTCGTTAACCTCTATCTTGTACTCCAAGTACTTAACGTTCATAGCAGGCGCAGGGTTTCCAAAATCGAGCCTGGCATAAACGTCGACGCCTCCAAACGGGACTATCTGTACGAGAAGCGCACGATCGGGCAAGAAAAGCATGTTTGTGAGGCCAGCCCCATGGACCCCCACAAGCATGTCGCACGAGTTCACTAATTGCGCAAACTTTGTCAAATTGGTCGACAGTCGAGCCTCGGCCGAGATGACCTCGTAACCCAATTCTACAGCCAGTCGAGACACCTCGGCCTCGTTTGTCAGAACTCGTGTCCTCTTCCTTGAGATGATCATCAGACGTGGCTTTGACTTCTTCTTCTTCTTCTTGCCTACTCTCGTCTTTCTCAACGAGTAGGTTTCTCGGAGAAATTGCCGGAAGTTGCGCATGCGGTGGGCCCCGCCAGACGGAGCGAAAACGAGCTCCCTGTAAAACTGGAGGCCCACGATCATTTTGCCGTAACAGTGCACGTGCATTTTTTGTGTTTCGATGTCGACGATCTGATGTGCAGTGAGGCGGCTGAGGAGGGCACGGAATTTAGAGACCCACCAAGGCTTGTAATCAGTGGCGAGAAAATGGATTTGTGTTTTGAAAGAGAAGGTGGTGGAGAATAAGGGGAGTATGAGGTCGGCGAAATCGTGGAAGTGGTTGCCAGTGTATCCTCCCGTCGAGAAAAGGAGGGCCGGGAGAGTGTGGGTCTGCGTGCACCGTGGAGCGAGATCCGACGTTGACATTAATACCTTCCAATTCTTGACGTCGGAGATATGTTTCCTTGGGTAAGGCTTGATTATCAACGAACTTGAATTGTTCATGTTTGTGGGGCCCACCACGAACACGGTGGATGAGTTGGCGTTCACACGTACGTCCCCTTCCATCTCACAATAATAATCCGACCTGCACTCAACTTGAGGAGACCTCACCATTGCATTTGCATGCACAAATCTATTTGGAGCACTACCCACTGGAACACAATTGAAGATTGTTGGCTTTTCTAAATTATTAAATTAATATTGTTTTCTTTTCTAACACACAAATCACAAATCTATGTTGGATGATCACCTGTTGGGTTGGAGTTATTGTCACCGGCTATCAACATGTGGATGGGCAACTTTATATTCACAGCCTCACCAACTGCCAGCACGCACATATATATAGGAATTCAAGACTTGACTTGAGCATTCATATGCATGTAGTATAGCAATAAATCACCGTTAATAGATGCAAAAGGACTACTTACTGAGTGATGAAGCATAGAGATGAGGATCGAACGATGAGCAGATACTAAATGCAATGATGAAGCACACGACGAGTGCGGAGCATCCCAATCTCTTGCGTTCATAACTACTGAAGCTTTTCGCCATTATTGGATCATACATTTTTCACTTGCAACCTAAGTTGCAAATCTCACTACTTAATTAAAACTGCCACCACTTTGCTTAAACTTGCAACTATGTAAGTCAATAATTACAAGTAAGAGCATGCAAATTTATATAATTCACACTATCATATCTTTATACTATTCATGTCCTAAAACGGGTGGCACCCCATGACCCGTTTATACAAGAAACCGAAAAAATAGAATTCCTATACGATTTTATATTGTTAAAAAAAAAAATAAAAAAAAATAGCCTAGTTTAGGTACTGAGTTGGTCGACAGGATATTTCTGGTACCAAATCAAGGAAATGCCTATACTTCACATACCCAACAATAATTATCCCGAAATGGTTAATTATGGTGTGTGACTTCTACTGATGTATTCATGTGAGGATAGAAAATGACTGCTGCATGCTAATAGCAATTGAAAACATGATGATGACGATTTGGTAGCAGCGGTGGTTAACTAATATCATCATCATCATCATATATGTGTTGAAAAGATAGTTTCAACTAAAGCTATTACAAATACAATTATTAGGTGGTGAAATTATTGCAACTAGCTATGGTTGCTCATGAGTACAAGAATTGGAGGCTGGTGGGATAATATGATATAACGACTCTAAGGGCATTAGGTAAAAAGTGGTCTCAATTAAGAATGGCATTGCCCGCAAGTACACGTGTTCCTTTTATTTTTTCAAACTTTTCCAATTGAAGCTAATTGGCTGTCGAGGGACTATTAGCGATATGTGTTGCACAAGCGCCATGCCATAAGATTATTTTCATTACATATCACAAATCAAATTGCGGATGGTTGAAATCAACAATTCCGCTGTGGAGCAATTTT